CGTAACAGACGGACGAACGGACAGCTAGACGTACGTACGGACGGACATACCGATTACAGTATACCCTCCCTCTTTTCAAGCGGGGGTATAATAAATGTTAAAATGTTCATATTGCTATTGACGTGACTTATTCTCATGTATCCGCATCAAAACCGAGACATATTGTTTATTCTTGTTCCTTGGTTTCAATACTACAATCCATCAAAATATTTATCACCCCCCCCCCCTTTAAAAAAGATTATGCTTCAAATATGTGTCATTAAAGTTTTGCACATGAGAACCTGCAAACATGCTTCCGCCTATCAGTACTCTCAGTACTTTGATTATATGTGCTTTCATGGTATCAATAGCTAGAAGATACAAACGATGGAGATTGCTGTTACATTTATTAACCACAATCATTCAAGCTATTATTCTTTTTTTCCGCTGCATTCCATTTAACTTCTCTGGGTCTCCCAGACGTCCTTACAGGTGATTTCTTAGTAAAATGGTCTCACGTTGATCACAAGCAATTACCAGGAAATTCTTCTGAGCTTAACGTAAGTAAGATGAACTTTGTCTTCGATGTTCTGCCTTTGAATCAAAATTTTTTCCTAAATACTGGGGAAATTGAGTATACGTATCCAACTAAATCTCATCTAATACAAATTAAAGATGGAAATGGACAAATATTCCCGTATCACCGAGAAGTGTATGAATTAAGTACAGGAGAAAATATCAGCCTATACTGTACTGCTTCATTGGATGAACGTACATGTAACTTAAAACACGTTTTCTGGACTTTAAGGGGAAGAAATGTAACTTCGATCAGTAGCAAAAGCAAAATAACAACAGACTTCCAGAGGGTTCAAGACAATAAGATGATTATAAAAAGTACCCTTCATTTTGATGCCATTCAAAAATCAGACTTTGGAAAATTTAGTTGTTCCTTTCATTTTCAATATTTTTCCCGTGAGTCAATTTCTTATCAAAACAATAGAGCAAATGAATTCTTTATGGCTTCTGAATATCTCATTGGCCAATACCGTATAAAAAAGTATACAGGGAAAACATTATTTTTATATGCGTCTCCGGGAAGTGTTGTTAACCTTGAATGGAGGCCGATGTCTCTTAAGAGTGAACGCAGCGACATGATGCAATATTACTATGTTAATGGTCTCCCTTACTCAAAAGGAAAAAAAGGAAGTTGCTCTGCATTTTCGTATCTATATTTTTTCTATGGAAGGGCAATGAAATGGTTTACTGTTCCTGAGTTCTTTTCATTTTCAGATGTTTTACTGAAACGTCTACATTCTTACGAAACACATTTCCTTGGATGCGCAGATGAGGGTTTTTTTTTGGAGTTCACAGAGTTGTTTATTTACGTCGAATTTACAATGAGAAATCTCGATCTTATACCTTTATTGAAGCAAAACATCCCGACACTCTGATTGTTCTGCCTGATCTACCGTATTTCCTCAAGATGGACAACACAACAAAGGCCGACACAGAAAAGATCGTCGAGAAAATTCGGCAATTCAACATGGAATATATATGGTTTGAAAACACCGATAAATTGATACTATCAGAGCGTGTTAACATTGAAATTGTAATCGTTCTTTTTATATTTATATCTCTTAAGTATGTGTTATTTAAAATGTGGCATTTGTACACACGATTTGTTATTCTACCAATAAGGAATTTCTGTTTAGGAGAACCAATACTGGAGAAGTCGGAGAGCAATGTTATTGAAATTTTTAAGGAATACTCATGCTTCTTTATTTCTGGTGACAATGATAAAGAAGTTGTCTACAAATAGCCTTGTTCTTCCATTGAGAGAGGAAAATATCACGACAGGGTTTATTTTTGAGGAATGCAATATAAACAAAAGTGGGAAATCTCAATTTGACATACAAAGTGACATTATTAAGCAAAGTGAACATTTTATTTTTTACGTAACTTCTTCATATTTGAAAGAAGAAGCATTTCTAGACATTCACCTCGACACTGTTCTTAAGTGTATTCAGATGGATAACATATCTCCCAACAGTGTGTTGGTTATTTTCTCAGATTCCTGTGAATTACCAGATAAATTACGATATAATTTACCGGAGGCAGTTATTCATGACTGGATAAAAAGTACCGATCATAAAGAACGACTGAATGAAATACTTAGGTGGATTAAGGATAAAAAGACAAGGATGCCACGTGAGGTAGTGGTGTCAACAGTTTTTCTTGGATAAAGCAAAATGTTGTGTATTATCAACAAGGAATTAATGACACCGATTCATTGTGGAAAATACGCTTGATGATCGACTTAAAGTTAATAATTCAAATTATTGTGTAATATGGCAAATTAATTATATTGCAGATGTTCTATTTGTAGTTTAATCATTTTTTAAAAAATTACCTATCCAATGTTGTGTTATTCAAAAAAAAAAAAAATAAAAAAAAATTGGGTAGTCTGTAAAAGGGGTTAACTGGCTAAATTTAGATAGCTTCATTCATTTCCTCTTGGTCCAGGATAGAACTTAGTTGGTTATATTGTAAAAATACATTTATACATTTTTGGACATGCTCCTCACCCATGGCCCTCTTGCAAGAAATCGTTGACAGGATTATTTAATTAAAGTGATATTTGGCAAAGAAGACAATACAAGGGTGAATAACACAATTATAATGCTTTATCAAAGAGTGATTACCCCTCATTTTAGTATTTTAACTTGCTATATGATTTCCGTCCAATGTAGATTGATATATGAACTCTCGAATCTCTTGTAATTGAAAGGTTTTGATGATTTATTACTATTTGTTGTGTGTGTGTGTGTTTTTTTTCAACAGACTGATTTATTTCAATCATAAAATATCAGATGCCAGTGTATGATTCGTAATATTATCAAAGTCTAATTTTAATTTTAATAAGAGGTAATAATTGTTAACTATTTGATTTAATTTTATTCTTATTGCATTTAAAATGAGAATATGAATTACAAATAAATGTGCCTACAATTTTCTATTTGTTAAAAAGTATATGATGCCTTAATAGGGTAATTAGGTAACCAGATAAAAAAAAAAGAGAAAAATTACGAAAGAAGATAAGTTAGAACTAATGACAGAGAAATCTGTATATCTTTATTCAATTCAAAGATGATGTCAATGAATTGTATGCTTGTACAATTATAAAGAAACTCAATTGTTGCGTGTATTGAAATCTATGGCAAGCCTTTTTGCTATTTATTCGAAAAATAAAATTCATCTTAAAATTTCAGAGATATGTTTTATTCTAGAGTCCATTGCATCTGAGATTTCATGCTTACTTTATTTACCTAAATACAATGTATTAATTTTTTAGCATGTTTGTCAGTGAAGTTGCCATTATCTTTTTGGTTGTTTCAAAGAAGGGATTTATAGCTTTTTGCCTATATAGTACATTATATATCAATCTGGGTTTGACCTATTCTATGCTTAGTCTTTTTTTCTCGTTCAGCGAAATTATTCCAGAGACTTTACTCCTTGTCTCGCTTTCGTATGAAAGGGGAGAATTATTTTAACGATCACTGGATAAGAGATATCACTATCATTAAAAGAGATATCTCGTTAGCTTAGAAATATATCTTTTTTGAAAATCTATGGAGATATCTCTCTAAGAAAGATAACTTTTTAACCTGTTTGAAGAGATATCTTTTTTTATTTTAAGAGATATCGATCTAGCTTAAAGAGACATCTCTCTAACTGATTAAGATATCTCTAAGTAAAAGAGATATCTCTTTACGGTATAAAAATATGTCTATTAGTCGAAGAGATACAGTGTATCTCCCTTTTTTAAAGAATTTTTTTATTTCACAAATAAATGGTAGAAGGGCTTGCCATAATTAACAGTTTATAATTTCTTACTTTCATATCAAAGGGATTGTAATGTTTTCTTCCAAGCTGGGTAACATTATAGCGATAAGATTTCAATTTTTACATATCTAAACTTCGATTCACACTTTTCTGTCTCATTTTTTTTTTTGTTCAATACAATGTTTTAGTATTTATTTATGTATCATAATTTTTCCATGTTTTGTTCTTTGAAATAAATACACGGATATCAGTACTTTCAGATTTTATTCATGTATTGTTTGAACTTTTCATTTGAAAATCTGCGCTGTCTTTTAGCAATCCATTTGAAATCAGTTGTATAATTTCTTACTTTCATATCACATGCAGGTATAGTATTTTTTCTTCCAAGTTCGGTAATATTATAGCGATAAGATTTCAATTATATTTAAACTTCGATTCACACTTTTCTGCTTCATATTTTTTTGTTCAATATAATGTACATGTATTTATTTTTTTGTATTAATATGTTTGTGACGAAATATAATGAAGCTCAAGAGTCCTTTGAAGCAATACAAATTTGAATCAAAGCAAGCATGGACCATCTTCAACAGTTTTCAAGTAAGATAACTCTTCAATCTCACACCCGCCATGTGCTCCTTGTCTTGAGCGAGAAAAACGGAAAAATCCGGGAACAAACTTCAGTGGGAAATTGTTTACATCGTTTTATTTTTATTATTGGTGTCTCTATTTTGGTATAAGATAATAATTACCACGCAACAAAATTTACTATAAACAGTATTAATAGAGACGCAGTATCTCTCACAGATTTTTTCATGGCGACTACCTACATTCGAGGTTCAATTGCAACTTCTCGGGCCTTTTCAACTACTGGAAAAACGACCTCGAATGTAAATTAGGTAGACGCCATGACACCCCCCCCCCTTTCACGATTTTTGATATAAATGCATGGAGACCTTTAATCTGTGGAATATGGAATTTATTCAATGTAATGATATTACCTAAAATATACCATAGAAGCCAAGGGACTTCTAATTCCGTCTATCCTATATTTAAATAAACGGGAAATGTTTAACATCCAGTGATGGTAATACATTCGAGCTTGTTTTTCCGACCTCTGACGGAAAGACCCGAGATGATGCGATTGAACAGTTCCAGTTACTAGAAAACGAAAGCAAAACTAAAGTGGTAAACAAAGTTGAACTGTTGTTGATATTTCACAGTGTCTGTGTACCTCTAAGCCTACATATATATTGCAGCTTTCTTTTTATCGAACGTAGACATTGATTGGTAAGTACTGTAATTTTAAAATATAAGTACTATGTAACACTATTTATATTCTATTCTATTGCTTGTTTTGTTATCAGTGGTATTAAATTTGAATATTAATATGAATATGAATGTTAGGACTCACAGGATAAATCAAACCAAATCAAATATTATATTCGATTCGATTGTTCATCATTGATTGAAATATGAGTGAAAGAATAATTTTTTAAGACATCAAACACAATTTATAACTTCAGGTTTATAAAACATGCAAAATAACTAGAGAACTTTTGCCCCGTTCATTGTAGCATTACATATAGGCTTACATGTATGTAAATATTGCACCTATGTACACGAGTTTAAGCTCATGTGTATTGAAGTGAAGATAGACTGTTTTTCGGCCCTTCACAAATACACCGGTCGTAGGAAATTGTATTAAGCATACTTTCTTCCCTATGATGGCATATTTCTGCCCTATTCTCTGTAGAGAAGTGGATAGGCTTTCGCCTACATCCCATCTTCGCTAGCCAAGGGTTTCCGATCCAATACCTACTCTACTTGAAGAGTAGGTATCGGATCGGAAACCCTTGGCTAGCGAAGATGCATAGATCCATGATGTAGGCGAAAGTCTGTCCACTTCTCTGAAGAGAATAATTTCTGCCCCCTACCTGCAAGCGAAATTATGTTTACATGCAACAAATTGACTTTTAACGAGACTGCTGATATCCTTGTTTCATCAACTTGTTCGTCAATAATTTACCTTTGTTTTAGAAATTGTTCATACGAAGAGCATTCTCTTGCGTATTGAATTAACTGATACATAAACCCCGTATGCAGTTGATGCATTTATACTGCTGCATTAGTACATGTAATGGTGGTTGAGGATAGAAAAGTTAAAATCATCACGTTTAACAAAGTACGGAAGCGTATTTATATTAGGGCCGCAGCAGCATCTGTTTTTTAATTTGTTTAGACAAATTAGCAATTTATTATAATAAATCACTAATTTGTTAAAATAAATTACCAATTTTTTTTTATAAAAGATTATTAATTTGTTAAAATAAATTATTAATATTTTTCATAACAGATTAATAATTTGATACTAAAAAAATAGTAACTTGATAAAACAAAATTAATTACTATTTTTGACAAAATTAATGTATATATACAGATTTACGAAAGCCAGACCAAATAAAAAATCTTAGTATAAGTTGGATTTCTGAAAATGATTTGCAACTGTCAAAGTTTTTTGGCCAATAATAAGGCTTTAGTGGGACTATTATTTGAGAGCAGGCTTTCACGCATGACACATTTGGTATTTAGTAATAAATTTTACCAGGAGCTACCCACTCAAAAATATTGTGGTTTTTATTCATTATTATTAAGATTTATACTTCATACATAAATTGGGTCGAACAGTTGGCATAATTGCCTGTCGGAACGCAGTATTCAAAGTAGATCATGTCATATGTAAGGAAAGAATCGAGAGAAAGAAAGAGAGAGAGATCTAAATGAACAATTATAACAAAACACAAAATAAAATAATTCATATTGTAACATTCTGTTGTATGCCTTAAATAAGGTGATATTTTTCCAAGCATACGAATTCATTGGGTGACTGTACAGAGTCGGAAAGGAGGGGGTATGGACAAAGTTTCTTTAGCTTCTAAGAATATGATATAAAGAATAGACCTATTTTTATATTCATATGAAGCAGAACTTATGCAAAATCTTATGCGTTAACATAAGAAAACACTTGCTGTGGCCTTCAACTCGACATTTAGATATATCGACGACGTATTGTCTATTAATAATGGTAATTTCCATTCCTACTTCGATGCAATATATCCTTGTGAACTTGAGATAAAAGATACCACAGAGTTCGACACTTCTTACTTGAAAAAGTCATTAATGGTAATTCAACAACCAAGTTATATGATAAACGTGATGACTTTAATTATTCTATCGTCAACTTCCCTTACTTATGCAGCAATATACCTTCATCACCTGCATATGGAGTTTATATATCTCAGTTGATTCGATACGCAGGAGCATGCTCTACGTATGAACAATTTCTAAAACGAGGTAAATTATTGACAAGCAAGTTGATGAAACAAGAATATCAACAGTCTCGATCGTTCAAAGTCATCATTTCGTAAGTTCTATGATCGATACAATGACCTTGTCAGCAAATACAATGTATCATTGAGTCAAATGCTGACTGACGTTTTTCATACCAATTGTTAGTCCATTATTTATACACTGAATTGCAATTGACGACGGATTTTTACCGTTATTATCTGATCATGACAAGGAGCACACGGCGAGTGTGACCGGTCGGCAGGGGATGCTCACTCCTTCATGGCACCTGATCCCACCTCTGATGTTTCGGGGGTCCGTGTTAGCTGTGCTTTTATTTTGTATTGAGACTGAATACTGTTCGTTATCTGTATATCCTTCATGCAATTTATCATGATATTGATGGTTGATTGGTTGTTGAATTGAAAACTCTGAGCTGAAAACTATGCAGAGCGTGTGTTTATTGTTTCACAAATCCAATATTTTAAAGATTTCTAATTTTAAAGATTTCTAATCTGATATAGATTCCATAGTTCTGTGTACAAGTCAAATGTCCCAAAATAGTAATTTGTTATAACATATTACTACATGTTATTTGTTATAACAAATTATTAAGTTGTTATAATAACTTACTAATTTGTTTTAACAAATTAATAATCTGTTATAACAAATTAGTAATCTATTATATCAAATTAATAATCTGTTACAACAAATTGGTAATCTGTTATAAAAAAAAATTATTAATTATTAGGGCTGTGGCAGTATCTTTTTTAATTTGTTATAACAAACTACTATTTTGTTATATCAAATCATTAATTTGTAATTTGTTTAAACAAATCAGTAATTTGTTTAAACAAATAAGTAATTTGTTTTAAAAAAAATAGTAATTTGTTAAAACAAATTCAAAAAGATACTGCTGCGGCCCTGATACTCTTCCGTATCAGAGAGCTTGGTTGTTAGATTACTATTAACATCTTTTTCAAGTAAAATATCCAAATATGAAACAGATTTGTCACACTTTGTGGTATCTTTTATCTCAAGCTCTTCAGAATATATTGTATTGACATAAGAAAGGAAATGGACTTTAATTTATCTTGGGGAATGGTTGTGTATAAAGTTGTAAAGTTGCAAGTTTTTAAGCTGTTGATTTTGGTAAAATCTTGTGATTTCAAATTGTCCAAAAGTTCCTTGGATATATATGCCGGTGAGCTTGAAATTAAAAAAAAATGCCACCGAGTCGGACACATCTGTTTTATATAAAGATATTCTGCTTGAGAAAAACTTCAATGGCAATCTAACAACTAGGCTCTATGAGGATATGGAAATAACGAACAGTATTCAATCTCAACGTCCATTAAACAAATATACAAAATAAGAGCAGAGCAAACACGGACCTCCGAAACATCAGAGGTGGGATCAGGTGCCATGGAGGAGTGAGCATCCCCTGCCGACCGGTCACACCCGCCGTGTGCTCGTTGTCTCACTTTGCAATCGTCAATCGAAGAACCACTTGACCTAAAAAGTTGAAACTTATTTGGAATCATCCTGTGGTAGTGTAGATTTTTTCTTCAAATCTTGACCCTCTGGGGTAGGGCAGAGCCACAATAAGGAATAGAAGTTTTACATAGAAATATATTGAAAAGATAAACATTTAAAATCTCTTTCTCAAGAATAACTGGGCCAGAAAAGCTGAGACTCAAATGGAAGCATCCTGAGGTAGTGTTGATTCTATATTGTTCAAATTATGACCCCAGGGGTTGGGCTGGGCCACAATAAGGAATCAAATTTTAAATAGAAATATAAGGGAATAAAAACTTGTAAAATCTTCTCAGGAACTACTGGGGCAGAAAAGCTGAAACTTATGTGAAAGCAACATGGAGTCGTGTAAATTTTAAATGTCCAAATTATATGACGGTCATTGTTCTGTAGGGTAGGGTGGGGTCACAATAGGTAGTACAAAGGGGAAGTCTGGTAAAGAACAGCATGGTCAAAGCTATATTCTGATCAGCGATGTGACCCATGGGCCTGTTGTAAAAACGAGGTTAGATATAAGAAACAATAATGTCAGCAATCTCGTTAAAATTAATTATTGTGTAAGTTATATTGTCGATACAATGACCTTGTCAGCAAATATAAGTAATCATTAAGTCAAGCTGACTCACGTTTTTCATATCAATTGCTATGCTATTATATACACACTGATTTGTCGACGGATTTTCTCATTATTTCTCGATCATGAAAAAGAGCAGACGGCAGGGGACGCTCACTTCTCCGTGGCACCTGATCCTACCTCTGATATTTTGGAGGTCCGTGTTTGCGGTTTTGATTTTGAGGTTGAATAATGCTCGTTATATCCATATATTTCGTCAAGAAGATCTTCAATTTAATTTGTTCTTGTTATCACTAGGTTATTGATCTCTTAAATATCCAGTAGTCGTTTTCCGTTTTCATTTCGCTTTCCTATTTCATGCTTCCCCTCAGCACATTTTAAAATGTCCCTTTTTCGTAGTACGTGTATGTAGTTTCACTAATACTTTTGCAACTGTGAGTGCCTTTAAAATTTTTGCTATCACCGCTTGTGTATAATTTTTGAATTTATCAGTCACCACTAGTATATTTCTTGCCCATCGCTCGCTGAATCAAGAACTGATTTAAAATCAGCTGCTATATTTCTTGGGATTGATATGTTCAAAGACTGTCCTACAGATGTGGATTTGTCGGAACTGATGATGTGGCTGACAGTCAACACTCTTTATTTTTCAGTATTGTTTTACATTGTATAACATTGTTGGCCAAAAGCATATTAACATTTTAATGAAAGATTAACCGACTCAGAAAAGGAAGTTATTTTTCTTACCCGTTATAATTTTCTCGTTTGCTTGTTATCCTTTAGAACCTATGTATTACTCTGACTTTTAGATGGATCGAAATATTTTGCTTTACAGACCTCATTTGTAAGAATCTGTCCAATATCATATAAAAATCATTTTGCAAAAACTATCTGTATTCTTTCGAATAGGTGCAAGACTAACACTGATCGCTCGAAAAGTGTGTAACAACTATAGAAATTCGAAAACTAATATGGCATATCACTATTTACGAGTTTTTATGAGAAAAATTCTCCCTTGATTACCTGCATGAATGAGTAAGGACTCCAGTACACGCTTTCTCAAAAACAGTGACGAAATAAATTATCTCTCTATTTTAACAAGTCTTATATTGGTATTGCTATTTTTAGAGTTTTCGAACATCATTCTTCTTGTGCTTATATATTCTTTAATCATGGGCCGTGTATGATTATTCAATTTATTAGCTCTGAGCCGAAGGCTCAAGTGAGCTTTTCTGATCACATAATGTCCGTTGTCCGTCCGTCCGTCCGTCTGTAAACTTTTCACATTTTCGACTTCTGCTCAAGAACCAATAGGCCAATTTTAACCAAACTTGGTACAAAGCATCCTTTGGTACAGGGGAGTTCAAATTGTTAAAATGAAGGGACAAGTCCCCTTAAAGGGGGAGATAATCAAGAAAAGACAAAAATAGGGTGGAATCATTAAAAAATCTTCTTCTCAAGAACTACTGGGCCAGTAAAACTGAAACTTATATGGAAGCATCCTTGGGTAGTGTAGATATTAAATTGTTAAAATCATGACCCCCCTGGGGTAGGGCGGGGCCACAATATGAAAACCAAGTTTTACATAGAAATATATAGAACAAATCTCTAAAAATCTTCTCAAGAACCACTTGGCCAGGAAAGCTGAAACTTATGTGGAAGCATCCTTGCGTAGTGAAGATATTAACTTGTTCAAATCACGACCCCTGGGGGTAGGGCGGGGCCACAACAGGGAATCCAAATTTTACATAGAAATATATAGAACAAATCTTTTAGGAATCTTCCTCTCAAAAATCACTGACAAGGAAAGCTGAAACTTATGTAGAAGCATCCTTGGGTATAGTGTAGATTCTTAGGTTAGTATTAAAATCATGAAAGGGAAGGGGGTAAGGGGGCACGATTAGATATAGCAAGACGGGAAATCTGGTCAAGAACTGCATTACCCAATTAACTCAGGTGAGCGATGTGGCCCATGGGCCTCTTGTTGGTGAATCTAATTCTTCTACATCTACACATTTCATTGTTTTTAAGTCCGTTCAGTAAGTTGGTATTCCGGCTAAATTCACATTACTTCAACAAAGATTACATTAGTAGATCGACTGTGAGCATCTTATACTACTAGTAGCTAGTATTTTCATCTCTAAAATATATCAAATAGGAACTAAACATGAGATTCTGAATTGATTGATTATATATTGTTTAAATTCTCTCTCGAGAATTTTTCACTCACATGGAGACGCCACCACTAGTCTTCCCGGTGGAGATCTACTCATTGTGTCCTATACTCGGCACGCTGGACAATTGACCATTGACTGAGGGATCTTTTTTCCTGCCAGCACCTACTACGACACGGGACCTCAGTTTATACGGTCTCATCCGAATTCGAATGCGCGACGTAAGGATCAAACACTAGTTTGCGACTCTATAGCAGACGATTTTACCACTGCCCCATGGAAAAATAATAAATTCAGAAAGACACATGGCAGTTCTGAGTGTAGGTTATCGTCGTTCCGATTAATCTTTTCCGACAAGTTCATGGTCTGTAGCCCCTCTCTACCGATAATTATCCATTTAAATAATAAACATTGTTTCAAGTAAATCACGGAATTAAGTAGCAACAGTTCTAGTTCAATTGAACTGTGATTTTATGTTCCGCTGGTCTCGAAGCTCGTGACACATATGGAACAAGTAGAGCTTTTTAGAAAAAGGTTACCTTCTTTAGCAACAACCTTAAACAGTAAACTGATCTACTTCTATCAAGTCGTATTAAGCTTTTGAATTCTTGATTTCGTATTTCGACATTAGCTTTTTACTGCTAATAGCCCTACCACGGTTTTTGCTGTGTCATATCCGTAAACTGAGCGAGATCCGTCGCCTAACCCCGGCCGATTCCGTTAAACGTGACCTTCTTCAAACAAAAAAAGGAAAAGAATAAATACAAACTGTAAAGCCAGCAAGCAATAAAAATCAAATCTTATTTGCAACTTTATGAAAATAAAGAGACCTTTTTAGTTATTGCTATTAAAAATATTGTTATTTAGAATTAATTACTGCTGATTTTGTTGTTCGTTTTGTCATTTTTTTAAGATTGGGAATATTGAAAAATTGTTAAGTCGTACGAAACTTAGACCATCAGAAAGTTATCTCCCTTGCCTTGAACAGCATTTAACCAAGGAAATAATTGATAATTTTCTCATCTAGCAATTTCTACCAATCACAAAAGAGAGGAAGTGCACAGTCCGAAGACTGTAAAAAACTTCAACTATGTAATATCATCTTCCAAGGGTAACAAGTATGTGTCCTTGATCTTGTTCTTCGGACGTTCCATAAACAAGACAATCAAACTTGCATCGGTTACCAGAATTAAAATTTTCAAAGTCAGGGGATTCTACTAATAATTGATACAAATCTGTTTTCCAGGCGATTAAAATAAAAAAGGTCTTCAAGTGCATAAACATTATGAGAAACTCCTAAAAGGATGTCTCTTCTATAATTCTGATATTCATGGACCCTGGGGCAGGAATTTTTGAATAAGGTCAGATCTCTTTTGATTATATACGAGTAGTGAAGTGCATTCATTCTTTTAAAAACCCTTTACTCCACTCCTAAAAAATCATATAGTTATGACGAAAAAGTGTTTAATCAAACATGAAATTCGTGGCCTCTCAGACAAAGGTTGTGGTGTTTCTTTAAGAGAAGATATTCGCAAGTTTATGGGTTGCTGCCGATAACCAGACTTTTAACTTTTAGTTTGTTTTGTATATTTTGTACCATTTCGAATTCTATGAGCTCTATACAGGGTTGTTACGCAAATATTCAGAAAATTGTTCAGGCTCCTGGGCCTCGTTTTAATTTTCTTCAAGCATGACTGGTTGAAAAAATTTACTCCTTTTTTATTTGCAGTTACAAAATGAAGAGGATAGATTTTCTACATGGAGTGATATATTTATCTTTCATTATCCTGTCCCCATTTGCTTTCAATGTCTATGGATATTTGGACGAACCTTCATACACAGGCGTCATCCATGAAAATTCATTTTATGGAAAAACATCAGAGCCCGTGCGTGATTACAGAACATACCGACTGTATTTATTCTCTGTATACGGTATTTTGTCCATTATAATAATTTCGTTATTATTGGACCCAATCGCTAGACGAGTTTCAAGACTTCAGATTGGGTGTTACCGTCCTCACTTGATTTACCATAGCATGGTCAGTCTGATTCCAGTCGTCATAAGATATGTAAACATAAACGGCGAGTTACAAGATGACGCTATGCTACATATGCAATGGAAAAATCTTTATATAATTATTCTATCAGTTGTGCGTTTTGTTTGTGCTTTCATGATATCAATAGCTCGAAGATACAGGCTATGGAGACTGCTGTTATATATATTAACCACGATAGTTCATGCTATTGTTGTTTTTAATGTTGTATACAACATTTGCTTAACTTCTCAGGATCTCCTTGACGTCATAAAAGAAAGTAAAGGGAATTTCTTAACAAAATGGTCCCACGTTGATCACAAGCTATCACCAGTAAATTCATCTGAGCTGAACGTAAGTAAGATGAACTTAATCTATAATTTTCTGCCTTTGGATCAAAATATTTTCCTAACTACGGGAGAGAAAAAGTACATACATCAAAGTAAAGATCAACTAACACAAATTAAAGATGTACATGGACAAATACCCCCATATCAACGCGAAGTACATGTTGTAAGTAGAGGAGAAAGTTTCAGCATATCCTGTAAAGCTTTTTTGCATGGAACTTTCCCAGTGCACGTTTACTGGACTTCAAAGGGAAGAAACGTTACTTCGATCAGTAGTAAATGTAAAATATCGACAGACATCCAGAGTGTTATAGGCAATCAGATGTTTGTGACAAGTACTCTTCAATTTGATGCCATAAAAAATTCAGACTTTGGGAAATATAGCTGTTCCTTATATTATGAAGAATTTTCCAGTGCCTCGTATCATTATCAGAACAACAAAGCAAGTGCATTTATTGTGGCTACTGAATATCTCATTGGTCAGTACCGCATAAAAAGGTATAGAGGGAAAAAATTCTTTGTATATACGTCACCAGGTAGTGTTGTTAACCTTGAATGGAGGCCGATGTCTTTTAAGGACATTGGCAACGTTTCTGGTTTTCGTATAGGATTTTTCAAGATTTTTTTAACAGGTTTAATGGTACCAAACATATTCAATTCAGGTCCTTTTTACCCATCAAGCCAGCCTTCCTTTATAGATTTTGTCAAATCAATGTTTTTACAATTTTCAATGCATTTCCTATGTAAAATGTTGATAAAATGACCCTATATTATTTTCAACCATACGTTTTCTCCAAAACTCATGTATTTCATAAGGTTTATACATTAAATACATTGTTGAAACCTTATTTCCGATGACATGCATATACTTTGGCTGAAAATGAAAATATTGAAACAAAACACAGAAATACTAGCACTGTTTTTAATTTTGAGTTACTTCCCTTCACTTCTAATCAATACTGTATACAGGGTTATTTTCGCCCTTTTGAACTTGTGAACAATTTTGCTCCGTTTTAAATTCGCCCAGTCATAGTTCTGTTTAAGGAATTACGAAATGTAATTTGAATTCGCCCAGTTTTAAATTCGCCCAATCAAGGAGAGGGCGAAAGGGGCGAAAATAAAACGGGGGCGAAAATTTCCCTGTATACAGTATTCATTATGATCAAGAGACTGGTTATTTGTTTCTATTCTATAATTTACTATATTGAAAGCGAACTGTCATAAAACATTTTAACAAGGATTTATAGTAACTTTTAATGGTGTCTCATTCATATAACTTATAGAATGGTTCTCATTCGGTCTACCTGGCTATCACCACTTTCAGCATAATTATGTCACATCTTTGCACTTCCCAGCATTCATGTACCTATTCTAAATGACGAACTGTTGACTGTCTGCCCCCTCAGCATAATGTAAACAAACCCATCGCTGCTTTTCTTTTATTAATGTAGAGTTTAATATATCCCATAAAAAGCACACGTGCTTTTGTTTACTTCTCAGTCTGTAACCTATGCTTTATTGGTTTTCAGCGCCTAGAGAATTCCATACGGGAGATCACTCTCAATGACTTTTTTTCATAAGTGAGAAAACCTATGTATAAACCTTTTTTCTCCGGAAACCTGCGTTGCCAATGACCTTAAGAGTGAACGCAGTGACATCGTGCAGTATTATTACGTTAATGGTGTCCCTTATTCGAAAGACGAAAAGAGAGAAAGTGGAAGATGCTCTGCATTTTCATACCTTTATTTTTTGTATGGAAAGGCAATGAAATGGTTTACTGTTCCCGATTTCTCATCGTCTTTGGATATTTTACTGAACCATCTAGATTCTTATGAAACAAACTTCCTTGGGTGCGCAGTTGACAGGTTCTTTGGCGTTCACAGGGTTGTTTATTTACGTCGAATGTACGATGAGAAATCTCAGTCTTATATTTTTATTGAAGTTGAACATCCCGACACTCTGATTGTTCTGCCTGATCAGCCGTATTTCCTTAAGATGGACAACGCAACAAAGGCGGACAAAGAGAAGATCATACGGAAAATTCAGCAGTTTAACATGAGGAATACATGGTTTGAAAACACTCATAAAGGGATACTAGCAGTGCGTCTTATCGTTGAAATTTTATTCCTCCTTATAGTTGTTATAATTTGGACTTATCTCTCAATTAAATTTTGGAATTTTTATACAAGCAAAGTAATTCAGCCAATCAGGAATATTTGTTTGGGAAGTCCGGTTTTTGAAAAATCTGCAAAACTCGATGATACTAAATCTCGTAAAACATACTCATGCTACGTAATGTCTGGTGACAGTGATAAAGAATTTGTCTACAGTAGCCTTATTCTTCCACTGAGGAAGAAAAATATCAGAACAGGCTTTATTTTTGAAGAATGCAATATAAACAAAAGTGGAAAATCTGAATTTGACATTCAAAGCGACATTATCAAACAATGTGAAAACCTGATTTTTTACGTAACATCTTCATATTTGAAAGAAGAAGCTTTCCTTTGCATTCACCTAGATACAGTTCTTAAGTGTATTCAGATGGAGAACATATCTCCAAACAGTGTGTTGGTTATTTTCTCAGATTCATGTGAATTACCAGATAAATTACGATATAATTTACCAGAGGCAGTTATACATGACTGGATTAAAAGTACCGATCATAGAGAACGGCTAGATCTAATACTCAAGTGGATCAAAAAGAAAAAGACAAGGACGGCAAAGGAGGTAGTGGTCTCAACAATTTTTCTTGGATAAAGCAAAATGATGTGCTTTCAAAACGAGGATATTGCGGGGAAATTGTGATATTGTTATGGTATAAGACAATACAATAATTTTATTATTTTTATAGTTTACTATAGTTAACTATTCAAATAGTAAATTAAAGTGTCAAATTTTTCGCCAAAGCTAAGTGTCAAATTTTTCGCCAAAGTTAAGTGTCAAAGTGTTCGATAAAGTTAGTCAAAGTGATCTCTATAGAGATATTTTTTGTGATAAAAACTTTATTGAACACATCTCATGTTTCGTGCAGTATTACTCACTTCGTTCGATAATTACAACATGAGAATTCTATGCATTTTGTATGCCCTATATATTTAAAATTTTATTCGATACTATAAAATTAGTTTATACATGTAATATTGAATGTTTGCAGTGATTGATAAAGGAATGATATTTTTAAATAAGAGTTTAAGTTTTGTATTATCTTTGTTTTTTTAGTCTCTCAATTTGTGTTATATATAGGTAGATCATATTGTCTTTTCATTATGTTTTCATTAAGACAATTTAAAGTTTTTCACAGTGATCACTATAGTTAATCAAAGTTATCACTAGAGTAAATCAAAGTTTTCAATATGTTCACTATAGTAAATCAAAGTTTTCACAGTGATCACCATAGGGAGTCAAAGTGTCAAAATGATAACTATAGTAAATCAAAGTTTTTAAAGTTATCACTATAGTGAATCAAGGGTTTCAATGTGTTCACTATATGATGCCAAACGTTTATGCGTTCTTTAGAAGTGTTTTCTAGTCTCTTTTGACCCCTTAATATGTAGTGTATATTTGTTTACTCTATTAAAAATAAAGTCATTGTGTTGCATGTAATGAAATCAGTTGTATGAGAAACATGTGTGATATGCATCTACATTTATATCATCAATTGGTTGTATTTGGCATTATATTTTGTTTTCTTTCATTTCGGTCAGATTTCAATTTCTACAAATTTTTAACTTTGATTCACACTTTTCTGTCTCATTTTTTTTTCTTTAATTTTTTAACATTATTTTTTCATGTTTTGATCTTTGAAATAAAATTAGAACTTTCAGATTTATATGTATACATGTTTTTGAATTTGTTGTTTGAAAATCTTTTTTCACATGTCTTTAACAGTCTTTTTATTGTGAAATATTGAGGTAATGAACAGAACCTACCTACCTAGTCCTTGTTATGCCCTCGGGTATCTCTCTAACTTGAACAGTTCTCTCTAGTCCCCCCTCCCCCCCCCTAAGTTTATGGTTTCTTGTTTCCATCTCCACAGTCCTTCGCCAGGTATGTTTAGCTGACAAGCTGGTGTCCATCTAAGAGCTATTTTAGTGATGTTGTTGGTTGGTTTTCTTAACACATGCCCTACCCATCTACGATTTATAAGTATAGTTCTCTCATCGTTTGTGTTTGCTTTCTCATGAGAGTTCCTTATTGGTATTTCTATATGGCCAGAAAATCTCGTGATCTTCTTAAGGCATCCATTGTGGAAACTAGAAAGCCTGCATATGTCTCCTTCTGTCATTCGCCAGCATTTTTCCCATAGAGTGGGACATGCAGGACGCAGACAGCTACTTTAGATTCTTACTTTTGTAATTCTACTTATATCATATGTTTTCGAGATGCTCTTGAGACTGATGAAGGCACTTCTAGCTCTACTTGATCTGGCCTGTATATCTTTGTCCGCTCCCCACCTAATGTCAAGATAAGTAAATGTTGTGTTTCTCAGGTCATTCCATCAACCTGTATTCTCGCTGGCTGTTTAATGTTTAATGACATCAATTTTCTTGGTAATGATTTTCAGTCCAATTTTTCCTGCATTACTCTGTAATTTTGATGTTTTACTTTGCATATACTTTTCCAAATTTGACAGTAGGGCCGTAGTCTAGGTCTTCAAGATTGGTAAAAGAGTCCATCTTATTCCTGCGTTGTCTCCACTAAGGGTTGAATTCATTATCCAGTCTATTGCTAGTACAGTGTAAAAAGGAGAGTTGACATCACACATCTCTGCATCACTCCAAATTTTACTATGAAGCATGCATCTGATGAGCTGCCTATAGAGCAATTAAACTCCAAATAAAAAGCTTTAATCAGATCTACGATCTTTTATGGTATTTCATAATGCCATAAGATCTTCCATAAGCTTTCTCTGTTAATAATGTCAGAGGCTTATTTCAAAATCTATAAAGTTTATTATAAGCTGCTTTAACGACTCTTTTACGATCTATCTTTGTTGCCTTCTTTACATCTCTAGTACAATTGGAATATTGTTCTCTTAGTCTCTCTTTTATTCTCTCCGAGTGACTTTTACATAACTTAGTTTTAAGGTCTTTCTTTTTGTTCATGATTTTTTAAGTATCTTGTATCATCCATTTCTTATGCACCTGCCTCTTTAAACCTAGAGTATTCTTGCTTGTTTAACTGAACAAGCTGCATATTTAACCCAATTGCTCGTCAACCACTTTCTCCTTCTGAAGCAGATTTTTTAAAGTTAATATTTTTTCGTGTTTAGTAGCAGAGATTCTCTCTATTTAGATAATTTTGAATGTTTATATTTTCGTGTGACATCACAATTGATTTCCCGCACTCGGAAAATACAAACGTAAAGCGTTATCATGCTTACGTCTAATTCAACGATGTCCTGTGCGATATTGAGGTTAGCTTCACCCTGTGATATTTATGCAGTAAATAATTACGATGAAGGACTGACATTCAATCGTAAATTTAGAAAAAATTTATTGACAGAATTTTTTCCAAATGAGGATTTTGTCGTTGAAGCTGCCTTGAAAAATGCAGAAATTATCCCACCCAAATACTATATGAAATTAAAACAATTGCTTTCAGATAATTTAAACACTATGAATATTATAAAATATTTGAGTATATACTGTTATCTATCATATTTATCGTTTGTGCATAAAAATTCGCATTATGGACTCCGTTACGGGTCCGTAAACATGAAGTATCTAAACTCCATACAAACTCTAAACAGGGCGGTATTTGTGGGGCGATATCTTTTAAATAAGTCAAAAAATCCCATGACAGGACCGTTTTAAAATGTTAAGTACATATTAAATTAGTAATATAAAAAATACGAAAAAAATTCATTGACAGGAATTTTTTCAGCTAAAGGTCCTGTTCCTCCTTAGGTAATTAAAATATGGAGACAACGAACAGAGGTCCATTTTACGAAAGGACAAACGACTAAGAAATCGTTCATTCTGTTGATAACTTCTTAATTTACATTTTAATTGAAAACAGATTAAAAGGGGAAAGTAAAAAGATATTTTAAGAATAACAGAATTATTATTCTATAAAAAATTCCAATTCACTTATGATTTTGCTCTTTGTTTTTTTTTTTTTTAAAAACGGGCCCCTGTATTAAAGTTCAAATCCGCCATAGGCTCCTTGTCGTGATCAGGGAAAAACGGTAAAAATTCTATAGACAAAGTTCAATACCAAATTGTTAACATCTCTTTGTTTACTTTTTCGTATAAGATTATACACATCCAACAAAATATTAACTGTATCGAACAAAAGACAAAAATATATTGAACATTTTCTCTGCATATGCATTTACAGACTGTGTGTTCATCATTATTCACAGAGAAATATGTAAAAGGTATTGCATAAACCTTCTTATTATGGCATTCATTTTAATTACATAACAAAATTTACATTGCAATTACGATGATTATAATCAACTGCATCTACTGTTAAAGAAACACCGTGACGTGCAAAGGGGGAAATTGATAAATGTAGAATTTTTGCATTTCCCATGTAAATTTTGTTCAATTCCTTGTGTTTGCAGCAAGGTTTGCGGCAAGTATGCAGTAAGTTTGCAGCA